AGGGGGTTGGGCTGGGGGATCCCCAGAGGGCCCTTCCAACCCCGAACTTTCTGGGATTCTGTGAAATGTCAAGGTCTCCTACAGAGCTGGTGTGCAGGGGGTCATACTGGAACCCTCCCTCGCATCAGAGTAGAGTATTTAATAGTAGGAATTCCTGTACAGTCACAGATTTTAACTATGGTTGCAGTTCTCCCGTTGAATTAATCCATGAGGCTTCGTGGCTGCCCTTTCTCATCAAGTGCTCTTTGATGCCTCGTTATTCTAACGCGATTTGTTTCCTGCTCCTGCATTTAGCTTGGTATCAGACACCTTTTTGACAGGGGTTCGCTTAAAACGTTGGGTTTGGGCTGGGAGTGCGCCCTGCCGCTCGCCTCTCGCGCTGCTGTTTGGGGAGATGACGAGCCCCCCACGGCTCTCCCTCAAGTTGGGGAGATGAGGGGACGCAACGGCGTGGCCGTTGGTGTTTGGAGCAGGTACGGAGGTGGCTTTCGTGCACAAGGCTCTCCTCACTCTCTCCTCGGAGAACAACCAGGCTCTGTTTTTCTCTTCTGATCACCACCACGTTTCACGTGAGCCTCACGATCGTGTCTCTCTGCTGCTCTTGCAGGTCAGATGCCGGGGCCCGGTCCCATGATGCCCGGACAGCCCATGCCGGGCCGGATGATGCCAAGCGTGTCGGCCAACATCCATCCGGCCGGCGGTGGTCCCCCCCCGCCTGGCATGTCACCGATGGCAGGAAATCTACTGGGACCTCGCGTTCCTCTGGCAGCTCCGAATGGCATGTGTAAGTGGATCTCCAGCAGAAAACGTTCCCAATGTGCCCGGCGCGGCTTCTCTGCCGCGTGCCTTGGTGAGGAAAAGTCACTGAAAGCCCTTTATCCGCTGGAGGAATTACAGGATCTGTGCACGTTGGCAGCCAACGACCGGTGCCAGAGGTGTGCTTGAAGCTTTAAGTGCTTGTCTCCCCTCTGGGCATCCAAACACACTCCATTGTCCTGTATTTTATTTAGAACATCCCTGATTTTATTTATAATGACGCTAAGGCTCTGTGGTCATCGTCAAAAACCTCTCTGGACTTGGTGGGGGAGAAGGCACAGTGGATGTTTGAGAATTAGCTGTACCTTGTGGAGGTCACGATATAATTCAGTTAACAATACCTTAGTGACAACTCAGCACCGTGAAATTAGAAAGAGGGAGACCTAATTAGGAGGAAGCAAAAGGTATATTGGGAACGTTCCCTCCGTGGTGTAGATACCTGCACCTCCGAAAAGGAAAGCTGATTTACGCCAGCGGAACGAAAAAAGCAGCCGAAGTCAGTAGCCACTGTGTGGAATAAAGATGTCGAGGGTAGTTACAGCGTGGGACACTGCTGGGCTGCTTCAGCGCAGCAATTGTAACCCCAAAAATGTTACTCAGCGTGGCTGTCACACAGAATCATTAAGGTTGGGAAAGACCTCTGAGGTCACCAAGCCCAACCGTCACCCCAACACCCCCATGCCTGCTAAACCCTGTCCCCAAGGGCCACATCCAGACGGTGTTTGAACCCCTCCAGGGATGGGGACTCCCCCACTGCCCTGGGCAGCCTGGCCCAAGGCCTGACCACTCTCTCAGCACAGACATTTTCCCCAATCTCCAAGCTGAACCTCCCCTGACGCAGCTTGAGGCCATGGCCTCTCGTCCTGTCGCTGGTTCCTGGGGAGCAGAGCCCAACCCCCCCCTCACTGCACCCTCCTGGCAGGGAGCTGCAGAGAGCGAGAAGGTCTCCCCTCAGCCTCCTCTTCTCCAGACAGAACAACCGCAGACAGGCAGTCGAACCTCTCCCAAAAAATCATTGGGAGAAGCCTCCCGGTGTTGGGCCCGCTGGAGGGGCCGCTGAGGAGCACCGACTCGTCGGTGTTGGCCAGCGTAAGCGTGGAGTGCTCCCTTCTGCTGCTGCTTTTGTCAGACGTCGGCTCCTTTTCCTTCCCCTGCTCGAGCTTCACTAAGTTTTCCTTCCCTTTTTCTGAGCCTCTGCCGCTGGGAATATCTTACGTCAGGTTGTATTCCCGCTTGCTGTCTTCCCTCATCTTAATTTCTTCCTTTTTTTTCCTCCCCTACTAAACAAGTCAGTCATGTTCCATTAACATTTCCCCTCTGTGCGTGAAAGCTGGCCTTTTGTAGGCTTCGTTCCTCTCCTCCTCCTCGCTGCGTCTGCGGATTCCTCGGCTCTAACCTACATTCCCCGCTCGGAGCCGAAGTGCCGGCTCTGCTTGTCTAAAGCCCATTTTTCCGTCTGTTTATCTAAAACCCATTTTTCTGTCTGTTTATCTAAACCCCATTTTTCTGTCTGTTTATCTAAAACCCATTTTTCTGTCTGTTTATCTAAAACCCATTTTTCCATTGGTTTTGAATAGAGAAGAGCCCAAAACTAAAGGCTGGGGCACGGAGCTGGGAGGTGAGAAATGCTGATGCCAGCTCTGGAAGTGAACTTTGCCAGCGACTCAGCCGTGTGCCTGTCGTCTTCTTCTGTAAAAAAAACAAAAGCAGGGAATTTTTGTCCTCTTTCGGAGTCCGTGCGGTGCTCAGCGGTTGAAAAGCGCGACGGAGCGGGCAGCGGAGCTTCCCGCCAAGCTGGAGGAGTGGGGATGCTGCTTCCCGCTCCCGTGGCACGCGGATATCTGGGTGTTGGCGCCGGGTCCCTTTTCCACCTTCAGCTCCTCCTGCTCTCCTGACCGCTCCTCTGTTGTGTTTTCTTTTTGCAGATCTGCCTCCTGCGCAGCCGCCTGCGCCAGCGGAAGGGGTGACCCCCCCTCCGGCCGCGGCCCCCCCGGCCTCAGCCGCTCCCTAAGCAGCCGACGAAGAAGGAACTTCTCCAGACACACCAGGGGCGACC